TACAAAAAAGAAAAAAATTTAAATAATTAATTTGGTATTTTTTAAAATATTTTATAATATCTATATATTTATATTTTGTTCAAAAAAATAAAAACATTATCATTTTTTCAAAATCATATAAAACCGTATTATAATATCGATTGAGACAAAAAAAATAAATGATTAAAATGTATCTCATTATATTGTATGAATATCATTTTAATAATTTAAAATAAAAATAAATTACTAGTTTTGAAGTATTTTTTGGAATTAAATATTCACTAGTTCCAACACGACGAGAGACGTTTAGGTCCACCTCTACCCCTGCTACAAACATTTCTTTTTATTAATTATTAACTATTAATTATTATTTATTAATTATTAACTATTGCCGTGGACTTATCCCTTTTCTACCTCAATAATATTATTAAAAACAATTTATTCTATAAAAATTCTTCATATTTTAAATGTATCATATAAATAATAATAATTTAAGCAAGCGTGGTTTAAAGTCTCCATTAAAGACTCCTTCCAGTGCTTTCAATCCAAAATCTTGAGTTTTTTCTGGCTTTTCTTTTCACCTTTCTCTCTCTCTCTCTCTCTATCTCTTAAATTTGGTTTGTAAGCTTGCAGATGAGACATGGAGTTGGGTTTGAGCTTAGGTGATGCACCATCCAAAGCTACTGACGGATTTACCGCCTCCACCACCACCACCACACCGGTGAACAAGAGTCTAGGATTCTGCATGGCCTTAGGGATGAACCCATCAAATGGAACCACAAATAAAGGTTTCCCGGAGAAACCACAGATTCAAGATGATCAAGATGATGGCGATGAACATGATGATGACGATGATGATGATGAAGAACACGAGAAAGATAATCAACGGATTTTGAAAGAAAACGGAGGAATCAAAGAAATGATTGTTAGTAGTCAAAGAATCTGTTCACTGAATCCGCCGGTTCAGCTTGATCTACTCCCTTCTGCACCTGTTCCTCGTCATACCCCTTTTCCATGGTCCTCTGACAACGGTTCTCTCTCTCTCTCTCTCTCTCTCTCTCTCTCTCTCTCTCTCTTTCTCTCTCTCTCTCTCTCACACACACACACACACACGGACGCGTACGAAAAGAACATATGTGCGTATGTTTACACACAATACATAGATTTCACAGGAAAAAAAGATGAAAACTTGGCTAATGGGGTTTCTTTCAATTGTATTTCTCACCACCTATCTCTCGTGTGTGTGTGTGTATATATATGTATGTATGTATGTATATTTGTGTGTGTGTGTGTGGGGGGGGGGGGGGGGGGGGGGAGGGGTTGTCCAAAAGATACAATCTTTAAATGGAAAGTGGAAATATATGATATGGGTTCATGTGGGATGTTTTCGATATAGGAAGTTCAGAGGGTGGTTCGTCGGGAAATGCGGCGGCGGGGAGAGGGTTCGATGTGAAACGCATGCCGGCAGCTGTGGGGACGGAGGAGGCGACCTCATCATTCCGGTTGGATTTCATGAGTTACAGAAGAACCGGAAACGTCAATGGTGGGAGCAAGAACAATAAGAGGGGTTTTGAGATAGGAAACGAGGCCATCGAAGTGGAAAGAGCTTCTTCTAGGGCTAGCGATGAAGATGAAAACGGAATTTCCAGAAAAAAACTCCGATTATCGAAAGAACAATCTGCTTATTTAGAAGAAAGCTTTAAGGAACACAATACCCTTAATCCTGTAAGTATCCATCTCTATCTTTATCTTTATCTTTATGTGTGTGTGTCATTTGTCAACCATTATATCTCTTTCTTGTAATTTATATGTATTTTCTGTGGGTTTTCAAGAAAACAACGATTCTAATGATTTTCAATGATCGATGATAAAACTCTTACATGCAATATTTTATATCCAACCCGGTATATCAGCGGACTAATATCATATATAATTTTACGTTTTTATTGTAAAATATTATATTCCATATGCTTTTTTTTTCTGATGGAGAAAAAAGAGCATAGTAAGATTTGGTATTCTCCCACTGAGCCACTAAATTGCAAGATCTTTTTGGTGATATCCCATAAAAATGTGGTACCCTTTTAAAGAACGTCTGTTTTATTTTTTCGTTATCTGTATCACAAATCAAATCTTGATTTTAATTGATGAAAAATACCGAATTTGTCTTTTCCAATAAGTCGTTACATCAAAATTTTGACAAGATGGTTGTAGAACTTTGTTGTAAAATGGTTGTGTACGTTTTTTTGGTGTCTTATGTATTTCCTGTGGTTAAAGCAGAAACAGAAGCTTGCGCTTGCAGAACAGCTTAATCTTAGGCCTCGACAGGTTGAAGTCTGGTTTCAGAATAGAAGAGCAAGGTATATATATATATACAATTTTTAAGGAATAATTGTAGTGATATATAGATACATGATGGTTGTATGTATATATGCATATATAGGACAAAGCTGAAGCAAACTGAGGTGGACTACGAGTACTTGAAGAGGTGTTGTGAAACCCTAACGGATGAAAACAGAAGGTTACACAAAGAGCTTCAAGAACTTCGAGCTCTAAAAACCAGTTCAAATCCATTTTACAGACAACTGCCAGCGACAACCCTGACGATGTGCCCGTCGTGTGAGCGTGTGGCCACCACCTCAGCTCCGCCACCCTCCGCCACCTTGTCCAAGCAGGTGGAGCAAAACTCAAAGAAAGCAAGTACAACCCCCTTAACTCTCTCGGCAAAACCAAGATCATTAATTTTCCCGGTGTCCCACGCGCCACCGTGTAATAACTCCCATCACCAGCCTGCAGCACCCTCATGAATAAGAGGGAGAAAGTAGAGAAAGAAGACAATAGTCCATTAATTATGTACATATACTTCAAGCTTTAGTTTTGAATCTTGTTGGATTTTGTGATTTAGGTTTGAAAGACAGGAAATAGAAGATCGTATGAAAAGATGTGGAGGAGGATCATTTTATTATAAGGAAGAAAAAGTTTTTTTTTTTATTTTTTATTTTTATTATTATTTTTAATTTTAATTTTAATTTTGGTGGAACGTAGAAGTTTGGACAAAAAGGACAACCAAAATCTTGTTTTTAATTTTTAAGTAATCATATTTATGTATTTTTTTATTTGTAACTTTTTGTTTATTATATTATTTAATTTGGAAAAATTCAATCATGTATCATCGTTTGTACAAACAATATTTAATTGGATTAATAAACAGATGACCTAAATTTATGGAATGTTGTGGACTATAATTCAAGTTTTTCTTTTAAATTGCAATAAATAGTTAATTATTATATATATTAGAATTATATGTGTTGCATTTTTTATGAGGATAGACAAAAAAAATCAGAAACGGATGGTAAAAACGGAAAATCAAAACTTTCGGGTCGGGTTCGGGGACATCTTATCCGGGATAGGGGTCGAATTCAGGGATTTTAACGGGGGCGGGGACGGTGATCACCGACCCGACCCGATATGTATATTATATATATATATATATATATATATATTAATTTTAATTTATATACATACATATATATATATATATAATATCGTTAAAAGAAAATAGTAATATTAAAATTTAAAAGACTTTTATCCATTTTATCTCAACAACCCAAATAAGGCTTACGAAAAAGTCTAATTTATTTGTCTAATCGTGAAATCATGATGTTAGTTATATGATGTTTGAATTTTTGGTTACTTTTATCTTGTAATTTAATACATTGTTTGTAATTGATTCGATTATGTTTGAGACATTTAAATTTACATCTTTAAAAAGATTGTAATTTACTTTAAGTTGTGAAAATTTTGTAACTTTTTTTAGAACGGTTTCGGGTTCGGTTATAAAAAAGGAGGATTTTTACCCTTAACGGGTTCCCCAACGGGGGTGGAGGAAACCACAGATACCCGATGGGGATCCCCGATAAGATTCTCGACAGGGATCGGGGCTGTTATGGGGACGGTTTTAGTTATCGGTTTCGGAGACGGAGATATCAATACTCGGCCAGTTGCCATTCTTATTTTTTTCTCCAATAACTCGAAATAAAATTTGGTTTACTTTTTTATAAAGCAAAATAATCTCAAGTAATTCAAAACCTATATTTAAATAATTGTAACTTTTTTGGGTAATCAAATATGTAATAATCATGGTATATTTGTCAGCAATTTAAAGTGATTTCTTGTTTATTCGGTCAGTTATATATAATTATTTGCTAGATATAGAAAAATGTCTTATTCAGTAAGTTTATAGGTGGACTTTATGAAGAAAAAAAAAACCAAGTTATTTTCTAAACTTGCTCCTTCTAATTAAAAAAAACATGTTTCTTCCATTCATACGAAAACCCTCACAAATAGAAAATTTTCTCAATCTATACAGACAGATTAGTTCACACAGATAAATTTATTCATATTAGATTTAATGGAAAACCAGTCAACAATCCCTAACTTTGTTATTAATGTTATAAAGATTTAGCTATTTTTTCGTTAATAAAATCACTCCAAATGCACTTCTCCAAACCATAAAGAAAATGCATACTTCCGTCTATGAGTCCATAATTATTAGTTCAAAACATACATTTAACATCAGTTGTATTAAAATACCGTCAGTTACATCAGTATTATGTTACTTCTTGAAATTAATGAGGTAAAGACTTACGTTTTTTTTACAAAAACTAAAGAAAGACAACTGTACGACGTTTCGACAACTACAAATCAAATCGTTTTTCCTTAAAATATTGAAAAAGAATTATAAAATAAAAAAAATGGAATTTGTATTAAGGGAGGCATGTTTAATTGTTTTAAGGCATGGTTGAGTTTGCTTTAAGAAAAGAGGGGCATGGGGGCGACCATTTTATTTGTTTAATGATTTGAATAAGAACACACAGTTGAAATGTGTTATGTGTGTGAGAGAGAAAGAAAGTAGGGACAAGAATGTCATATTTATGAAAAATTGTCTGGTAAAGGTGGTACCCTCGGAGGACCACCAATTATGAGGACACACACAAGGAAAGTACAAGGCTTAATTATTGCCAATTTTAACCTTTCTATGTCACGTGACCTCTCACGAGACCAGACCCTCCTACATTCATACTCCCCACTTGGTCCCCAAATAACCTACGATCGTTTCATTAATTATTTTATTTACTTTTAATAAAAAAGTAAATATATAAACCTTATTTTATCCCAAATATATACGATTAATTAATATCTAATAAAAAAAATATTATATCAAATTTTTAAAAAATCATGATTTATAATTAATTTCAATGATATTAACTACAAGGGTGGTATCTAATTGGTTTGAGCTTGGCTCCAAAAGTCAAAAGTACCAGGAGGTCTCAGATTTAAAATTTAAGAAAGAATAGAATGACCCCGGGCTATCAGCAAAGCAAGTGGTCACCTTGAGATTAGTCGACTCACATAGTGAATTAAATATCCAGGTTAATAAAAAAAACATTATGTTTACAAAAGAACTATTTTATTTTCTAAAACAAAATAAAATAATATTTATATATTAAAATAAAATGCATTACAATTTTCATATTTGTGAAAATGGAAACTATCTTTGAACACTATTCATCACTATTTGTCAAAAATCATCAACTTTTGACTTCTTTCACATGAAAATCTTGAAAACTTTATTATTTGTAAGTTTTGGTTGGTTGTATTAAAATTTTAACCATTTTTCTTCAATCCATTTCCAAAGTCTTTGTATGCTCATCAGATAGCTCCATAACTGTAATAACTGCTAGACTATCTATTCGTATTGGAACTATTCTATCTCCTATTTATAAACCCAGAACTCAGRTATTTGATTCTTGGATGACTGATCTACTAAAGGTAACTAACTTGATTAACCCGCTTCAAACCAATATGCGGCTTCTACGCTATCAAGAAAATACTAATCCGTTCAACAATTACGACCTGTATCTCCAACTTTTATTGATGTATAGATTAAGAAAAAAGTAATCAATTTATGGGTTATTTTTAGAAAACTTTTTCTTAATTTCTTAATAAAATCCATCTATAAAATTGAAATATACACCCGTATCATCTACAATAACAATGTTTATTAATTAACGGTTTAACGGGTATTTAATTAAATACCTAAAATATAATTTTGTATTTTCTACTATTTTCGGGACCTCTCGTTTCGATTCAAATGCTTTGAGAGATGCATAGTGTTTTCACTATCAGAACTTATGAAGTATCGTACAAAAAAAGGTCTTTGAAGATGGCATAAATTTCGTGATTTTGAACTCTAAAGTTAAAGTCCTTTGACTCATTTATTAAAACTATAACGTTCTTTAATTCATTAAATAAAACAATCACTTATTTTATAAAATTTTATCTGTTTATCGTCACAAACAATTTCAATTTATTATATAATTAAACGTATATAAGAATTGATGGTTAATTAATATTTTAATAAATTACATGTACAACAAATGTTTGAAAGAACATTATTACAATTTTATTTATTTTTATATCACACGAAGTAAAAGTGATTAATGAATTTACTAAATTGCCCACAGAGTTTTTGTGTTTGAATATCTTAAAATACCAACCCCAATTCAAAGTCTATATTGATGATGGTCGTATACCAACGAATGTTCCACTTTTGACCCCGTTCGTTCCCGACTAATCACAATTAAGTTTGAATACCAATTAATAATCACATTCCAAAGTCCATATTCAACGCCACATGCATTTCCATATCCATTTAATTTGTAACCCGTAGTCTTTCCCAAAGTCTAGAAATGCATGATATTGCTTTGGTTGATCATTTCCGATATGATTAATGATGGTGCCAACTATCATAGCAAACCATCTTTAATTATTCTTGGGGGATGTTAGGTTTGATCATTGAAAAGGGTTTGAATTCTTTACATTCACTTGTGAATATCATATATGGATAAAATTCATAAGTCTATGTTACATGTTGGAGAAACATGTTTTATGATTAATGGTAATAGTCGCTACGAAATTGCAAATTTTTCTGACGGACAAATCCGTCGGAAAACTCAATTTCTGACAAATTTTCGACGGATTTACGTGACGGAAAACACTATTTCTGGCGGATTGACCGGTTTCCCACGGGTTTGGCCATCGCAAATCCGTCGTAATTTTTTTAATTTTCCAACATTTCTTAACTAAACGAAATTAATGATTATGATTAAATTATTGGCGGACTTTCCGCCGTTAATTAATTAATTTTTTAAAAAATATATATTTTACTTTTAAAAATTTTAATTAATTTTCCAGCTGAAAATCCGCCGGTAATTAATCAGTGGGAAATTTAATTATTTTTCAGTGAATTATTTTTAAAATTGAAAACAACTCTTTCCAACGGAAAATCTGTTGGAAATCCGTCGAATATATTATACATTTAAAAAAAAATAAAACTAAAATTTCATATTATATCAGCTATTTATTGGTTCCACATCAGCTATATCTAAGGCCCATACATCAGCAAGAGGCCACTTTCCTGTTAAAAGAAACAAAGTATGTGTTACATATGTGAGAAAAAAACCAAAAATACTCGTTATAAGTGATGGAGTACGTTGGAAAAAAAACTAACCCATATAAATACTCGTTATATGCTTTGCACATGAACACAATAGCATTCATCATAAACAATATGCATAGATCAATCATAAACCTTCCCAATCTTTTCTTTTTAATCCAAAGGGAACTAATTTTAACTAACAAATTTTTTTTTTATTAACCTGGATATCCAACCCGTTATGCGAGCCGACTAATCCCAGGGCGACCACCTGCTTTGCAGATAGCCCGAAGTTACCATATTTGAACCTCCGTGGCCACAATAGGATTTTTATTCCTCTTTGGATTTGAACATGGGACCTCCTGGTACTTTTGACCTTTGGAGCCAAGCTCAAACCAATCAGACATCACCATTGTGGTTGACTAACAAATTTCTAATACTTTGGAATGTAATGGCATAAATAATTTTAACATATTTATCATATGTATATGTTATAAGGATTGGATTGGAGCTAAGAGGGGTG